TTGACGTTGTCCCTCCTTTAAAGTACAGTGAACACACACACACACACACACACACACACACACCACACACACACACACACCACACCGCACACACACACCACACCGCACAAACACATACACACACTCACACACACACCACGCACACCACACCGCACACACACACACACAAATATATATATATATANATACATAGTATATATATATATATATACACACACACACACACACACACACACACACATATATATATATATATAGAGAGAGAGAGAGTTTTTTCAATGCATTTACTCATTTTGAAGACAGTTGTCTTTTTCGTCATGTTACAAGAGAGCTCAACATGGAACACCCACACAAAAGACATTGTAATAATGATATGAAGGTAGTGCATGTAAATCACAATTAGCTCAATAATGAGTATAACACAATATGCTGAATTAAGGCCCATTCAAATTACACATTTATCTAAAACCTCCGGTACGGGGCTGGGTTCCTGGCCCATGGAGACTGCGGGTACACCGTCTGGAGCGGTACGTCATGGTCCGGAGCTGGTACAGGCTCCTGCACGGGGAAATCAAACACATTTTATTGTGTAGTGCATTCACTACGTATACGAGACTGAAGGAAACAAATTATTTTACACAGAAGATCACCAAAATATTACATTTCTACCTTGTTCACAGTGTGTGTGTGTGTGTGTGTGTGTGTGTGTGTGTGTGTGCAGCCAGAACGCCCTTCGCCCGCCTATCTAAATTACCGCTACGGGGGAGTCGAGCCAAGGGGGAGTTTGGCCGTCCCTAGGTACCCGGTACTAGTCTGGCACCCAGGGGGAGAGAGGGAGGGAGCTTGTGCGTGTTTGTGTGTTCGTCTTTAGTCTCTAGCAGACTAACTACGCTGGCTATATATAGCAGAATAATTGCCGGGGGAGTTTGGCCGCCTTGTTGTAGGTTTGATTGGCCGTCTTTGTGGAGCGAGTGGGGTAGTGTATTCCATTAATCTGAAGCTCAAGCATCAGCAGTAAGATTTACCTGTGCCCTTTCGCGAGAAAAGCTCTGTGGCTGGAGGCGCCGTCCTGTCGGTGTGGTCAGCCCAGGCCGGTGGGTTGCTGAGGTCCCGCCTTCTGAGACATTCCGTGGTTTAACAGACATGGCGGCTGATGGCGGACCTGGCATCTCCTGAAATTGCCCACGTTTGTGGTGTTTGCATTAGTAACGTTGTCTTAGTTGACAGGATAGTCTCAACATATGGAGGACCTCTGAAGTACTACATTTTACTAAGTATGTGTAGTGTCGTGTTGCGTAATGGCAGAATGCTCGACTCGGAACCAAGAGGTCCCGGGTTCAAGTCCTGACATGCCACCGATCTTGTGGCCTTGGGAAAGGCACTTTACACAACTTTCCTCACTTAACACAAATGAAACTGATTATTGTCCTGTATTTGCCCTCTGTCTTGGTGGCGGCATAAAATTAGTCGATAAAACTTGAGTGTGCCGTCACCATGTGTAGTCATGAAATGTTGGAATATCAAAAAGTATTTTGACGACACCGGTCGCCCAGGTGAGTTATTAAAATTTCACATATTTCATGATGTGGCATGCACTGGTACACCCTGGGTAATGGCAAATCAACTTGAAACATTTCATCCGCCCTTAGTAAATAACTTAATGATAAAAGGAGTACGATCTCACCTTCCTCGTGTTGAGCACCATTGCAGCCACGTCCCCTACCTGAACCTGTAGGGACTGCAGCTGGTCGCGCAAGTCCTTCGTATCACAGGTCTGAATAGATGAGAAAAGGGCAAGTTCACAGATTGCATCACTGTTACTCATCAAACACTTGAAGCGAGGAAGAAAATCCCACAACATCGTAAAAAAGGCAAAACTGGCGAACCTGACAGGCCTGGCGTGTTGCCATGGTGATGAGAAGAGGAAGGAACAGCATCAGGACCAGGGCGCCCATAGCCAGCTGAGCCAGGCAGAAGGTGCGGGGAGTTATCCATCCCTGCGCCGCACGGGGCCCGGGCGGGGTCCAGGCGGCCGCCGGGTCTGGTCCTGGGAAACACGAAAAGATCTCTATAAGAGTCCTTAAGCAAAAGCTTACACCTCTGTGAAATATGCAGAAATATCCGATATCCCTGAATTTCTTGCTTTAGCTATTAGGCCACACCAAGTAAATTTTATGTATGACGTCCTTTGGAGACCCTATATCTAATGCGAGAGGGCGAAAAAAAACAAGAAGGGCCCTAAAAAACAAGATGCCTAGATTAGAAATATACTAAGAGACAACAAATGAAATGTTAGGACACAAATTGAATGAGGTGACACAGTGTAACAAGCAAGAAGTCTTTTATTCATCATCAAAACAGCAATAAATCAGGTGGAACAGTGGACAGTGAAAAATTTTCTGTTATTGACAGGATGGTCCTGTCAATAGACACTTTCTTCGCGTTACGGGATTCACGTCAATCTGACGATTTGCGACACTGTCGTGACTCTTTGGTCATAGTTACAGGAAGCGGAATTCCTTGTGTTTTTTTTCTAGGAAGAGGCCAAAATCAATGCGCGCGCGGACGTCATCCATAGAATTTACTTGGTGTGGCCTTATCATAAAATTCTCCATCTACATTACGGCATCCACACTGAAACCCGGGCAACAGTTGGACAACTTCCCCCTGGCTCGCCGTGCGAATCTCTATGAGTCAAATCGCATACTTGTAATTACATAGCTAGCCAATACTTTTACTTTACTTTACTTTACTTTATTGGACATATCAGTACACGGGTAAACAATCCTGACCGAAGGAGGCCAAACACAACATTTTCCCTACGTAGACCCTTAAGCTGACATCTCCCCTAGATCCGGTCTCACCTGTGTCTGTGTGTCCGTCCCTCGGCAGGGAGGAGGCGACGTACATCTGGTTCTCCAGCAGCCCCAGGCCGTCCCGCCGCGTCACCTGGCGGATCACGCTGGAGGTGCAGAGGCCCGTGTCGGGTATGAAGCTGTACACCGGGTCGGGGATGGTCATGTACACTGGGGATAAAGGAAAGGTCTTACCGTAAGATATACAAAAGAAGCAGGTTAATTACTGACATAAGGCTGCATGCCTTAAAAATGTACACAAAATTGTTTGTCTATCCACATTTTGGGAGCGCGCGCACCACGTTAACGTTGTTACGTCCACCTGCCGCACCTGCTCACAGGGCAGGTGACGCTGCCAAGGTGGGATAAAAGTGTACAATACTGGTAAATAAATCGTAGAACGAATGTGGCAGAGACTTGGGTAAGCTATAGTCTTTCACAAGGAAATCACGAAGGGCTATCATGTAGTTAATTCTTATTTTCGAAAAATGTCGATTTTGTGCTACAATTAGAATGGAGAGTCCCTGGACGCTCCCTTACCTGGCTCGTCGGTGCTGGTCTCAGACG